GATCATTGGGAAACTTCCTGTGTAATGCAGTTACTCCCCTCCACTGTGTGTGTGTGTGTTTCTAAAATTAAGGAATGTGCAAAGCAAAACTTAATTTAACATCATACGTTGTGTTAATAACTGACTTAATAACCTGTCTTTAGCAAATAGGTCTATTTATTGATGGAAATAGATTGTAGAACTTTAACCACACTAGTGCTAAATCCATCCAACGACCTACTGCATCCACCCACTGACAATGACCTAGGTTAGGTAACAGAAGCCCTGTGGTGTGCAATATACATAATTTTATTTAAAATATAATTTCAGGAATTTCATGAGTTCCTTTAAATTACTAATTTTGCCTCAAAGAAAAAAAAGATTCTATTTCATTAACCCCACAACAACTTTTATACATTTAATAAGAAAATGATGTCTATTTCATAATTTGTAGAACATAGTATAAAATTATTTTTAAAAACCAAACGTTAACGGAAGCTACTTGTGTAAGCTATGTTTTATCTCTGGTATTTCAAGACTATTTCTGTGGCTTTTATTGTGAAATATAAGAAGAAAGGCGTTTTCACACCTGCGTGAAAAAGAAATCGGGCAGTGAAACATCTCGGTTAGTTGTAAGGAACACTCTGGAAGGAGGTGCTTAAGTTCTACGTCATTGAACAGCTAGAACAGTGCGAGGTACGTCCTTGTCCTGTAAGGTCATCATCTATGTCCCCTGCTGACTTCCTTCAGTCCCATCTTCAGCCTGGAAAGTTAAATATTAACATACCTCGAGGGCCGGTATAACCTATACAATCAAACCTAAGGCTTTCTTAAACTATAACAACCTCCTTCACTTACACCTTAAAACATTACTGCATTTGTAAATATAATGCTCTTATTGCAAAAAAAACCCCCCATGAGACACTTGTGTAGTGTTACTTATATGTTACATCACGTTGCGTCAGGTAACACCATGTCTGTGCGGGTTCAGCGGCTTTAAAGAAAAAGGGAAAACATAAATAATGATCTTTCACGGTTGCACGGATTTTAACACAATATGTAAGCGCTATATAGGTGATATCTATAATAAGGAGCACTTAGAATAACCACATTGGTGACTTTAAAAGTTTACGGCAACATTGTGAAAAGCGTCACAAAGAGGCACGAGTCGTTTTATTTTGAAACCTAAGTAGAAACTGCGTCCAGAGATAATCTAGGGAAGTAGTTTCATTTCCTATTAATCCCACTGTACACAAACTGACTGTAGATTAGCCAGCGGCACTGCAGAGGGCGCCGGCGAGCTCGTCCTCGATGATCACAAGTGAAAATGACCTAAACGGGTAAAACCTGCTTCTAGACAAAAACCCACAAATTACTATTGTTATTATTTTCTGCATACCTATAATTTTTACGACCTAAAATATAACAACAGTTACATCATTTCCTTTATCTTAAAAAAAGAGAATCGGATTTTCCTAAAACCAAACCTGCAAGTTGATTGGTCAATTTAGGATTCACTAGCTTTATGCCCAAAATCAAAATGGCAGATGCCGTAAAGTGTCTTATTATTGCGCTGTCACATAAAACGCATTTTAACTACAATCGAACCCCGTAAAATATTTTGCCTCACATTCACCTATAAAACACGATAAAGTCCCCAGCATAAAATCCTCGACGGAATTTACATTTGGGGCTTCACGTCCACAGGGATGTATTCATTCTGGACTACCTCGCGAGCGCCCTCTAAGAAAACAGAGCTCCAAAGAGTGGGCGTTCTCGCAGACGATAGAAGTTCTCTGGTGTTTTTCGCGAGTGGCTTGCTGTATACCGGATACTGTAGCGACCCGTGTCGCTGCAGTGTTGCGCTTTCCTGTTTACGGGCGGGAAGAGCGAACGTAGCTGGGACTGTGGAGCTGCTGTGTTTAAATCTGCAGCACATTTGTTTTAATTCTCCTCGATGTTGACGGTTCGCACGTTTTAATGATACACGGGGGTTTGCGAAGTCGAGTGGATACCTTTTAAGTTGTCAGCTTTTCAAAAGTAAGGAGATTTTGTTTTTGGAGAGTGCGGGGCAGATGGAGGATCCTCCTGCAGATTTTGGTGGTGGTGGTGGCGGCGATGGTGCAGCTGCAGAGGGCCCCGTGGTGCAGGTGGCGGATATCTGCTGGCCAGCCGGGGCTGTTCCTGTCCGGCTTATAGAGTGGAAAGTCAAAGCCGGCTCTCTTGTTAACGTGGACTCCGTGCTAGCACTGTGTGCACCCATACCTCAGGAGAAGGGGACTGATGGTGCCAGGCTGCCAGAGAAGAAGGTGAAATCGGACCGTGCTGGAATAGTGAAGGAGCTATGCAGTCAACTTGGAGAAGTCATATCTCCCGGGTGAGTCACCCTGCTTGCTATAGCTCGTTAATGTTAGCTGACCTGTTCCCTGTTTGTGTCAGCTCCGTTTTGTTGCAGCTGTCTTCACGCTCATTGTACCTAAGCTAGCTAACGAGCTAACGCTGATAACCTGACGTTAGCTTGTTTGCTAGCCACGCTCAAAGCAACACAGTGAAGCGTTTGCTCTGACCAAAGTCAAGTACCGCAAAATAAACAAGCTGGCGTTTCGTCTGGGGCTTTCAAAATAAAAGCATCGTGTTTTATAAATGTTGTTTTATCGAGCTTTTTCAGGAGTTGCGATTGTAGTGGAAGAGAAAGTTAGAAAACAGTTGTATTTGCTAAATCAGAATTTTTATTAACGTACAGTAATGATTGAATTCACAAAGCTCCGCACTTTTGTTTTGAAGGCACGACCACGTGGTAGATGCTCTCGTGCTGTTCTGTTTGCCTTGACGCAGCCACTATCGCGTGCACAAAATTGTATACAAGCAGTGCAGATTGACAGGTAGAAGAGTGACCCTGGAGGCAGCCGTTATCCTCGTGAGCTTGAACCAGCCGTATATATATATACTTTAACGCGTATTAATTCACAGTAACGGGAGAATTAATACGCGTTAATAGCAGTTAATTACCGAAAGAGGAGATTTTGAAGTTCGTTTTAAATGGTTTGACGGGTCTTTTTGTGCTTTATTATGTATTAGCATCACTTTTTATGCGAATTATATATCAGATTTAAAAGAAATGTTCTGTTTTTGAAAACTTTACATTTAAATTCGACACCTTTGATATTAATACACATTCAAAGCTGATATAGTTGTTATTTGCTGTTAGGAAAGGGTCGTGTTGCTTTCAGGTACTCTTTGTAAACTCTTGCTCCCCGCTTAATCTACTGCTAGCTATTTATAATACTTTTACAGCGTCTTATTATTACAGCTAAATAAAATGAATCACCTAACTATTACCTTTCTTTATATGTTTCTTTATATACTTGCATGTTACAGTTAATGAGAATCTGTGCACGGTCTCAGGCTTCAGTTTGCAAGCAAGTTAACTGCGTCTTTAATTATTTTCCTGTTTTTTCCTTTTTCCAGGGGCACCATAGTCAGAATAGAAGAATGCAGCCATCCCATTGTCATGAAGGGCTTATGTGCCGAATGTGGTCAAGATCTAACTCAGTAAATACATGCTTTATCTCTTTCTTTTTTTGTTTGTTTGTCTTTAACTTAAATCTTTGTGTTTTTCTGATCTGCTCATGCATTTCCCCCCCAAGAACTACAACTTCCCCCTTTTTATTACATAGATATATCTATAAACAATAAAAC